ATTCGAAAAGAGTTGAACACTTTGGACATGCAACCCGTTGCAATGTCACCGTATGTGGAGTTGATCTCTTGTCCGTAATTTTGATCATTGGTGGAGTCTGCTCATCCTGATCATGTGCGAATTCCCCTTTGAACTCTTTGGAGTATATCTTCTGTTTCGATTTCCCATTCTTGTTCTTCTTGTCTTTGGGTTTTATTCCATTGGTTGCCGTCTTTTTTTGAGGGTACTCCTCGTGATATCGCTTGACGAGGACGTCTTCTACCAAACACTCCGAATGATATAGAGTTTGGCAATCTCTATTATCACAAATATGCTCATACTCGCGTTTATCGGGATTGTAGTGACCATTGCAAATACAATAGACGGGCAAGTCCTGGAGGAAAATGATTAGTTTTAATGTGTCTGATTCACAGAGGTAAAACTCACCGAAAGTCTCTGGGTGGCTTGACAGAATGTCTGACGCCAGTAACACTTGCTAGGATCCGGATCAGATACTACATAATCATCAAGGTCCTCAGAAAAACGTTCAACATCTAGCTTTCCTGCGAAGGTCAATACATCTACGACATCCAGATAATTGCTCGCAATAAGCTCCGAATTTCCGTGGTATTTCCTCCGTCCTGAACTTGCGGATGTCTCGCCAGCAGCTTTGGCTGTTGCTGGTAATTCTTCCGGCCAATACATCCAGGCAACCTAAAACCAATCAGTCCAAGGTCTTTTCCCAAAGATAATAGTATTTACCAAGGCGTAGACATGCTGCGGATCTTTAGCTCTAACCTGTAATATCCTTGCTATCCAAAAGTCCCTTGGTTGTGTGCCTGTTTCTGTCTTGCCCTTCACATAAACGAATTGATTGTTTTTATAAGTATCGCCTTGGACTGCTTTGAATTAGAAGAAATTCAGTAGTTAATGGTTGAACTACACTTACTTATAAAGTTGTTATATATCCTCATGGCCGCCCACTCTGTGTTTGGCACAACAGTATAATGGTAATTAAGTTCGTCCTCCGGCGCATTGAAGCCTTGAAATGGTGATATATGCTCCTCTGCCAGTGCTCTTAGTGCCGCATTTTGTTTTGATTCCTTTCCTTCTTTATCCAAATCCATAAGCGGTATCTTAATCTCGAAGGATATCGCTTCTTGAACAGCGGCAGGAGAGGACGTAGAACCGGGCTCGGAAGACTCTGTCTTCATTCGTTTATTCGAAGATGAACTCGAGCCATTCAAGCCATGTTTTGGCGCCATGGTAAACAGCGATGTATAGCTGCGAGAGATGAATCTAAGAGTATCGAGTATTGATGGGAAATCGCGTGCGCCGGGACGTGAAGTTGATCTGCGAGTTGACTGCAAAGCCGACTCGGGTTTTGTAAAAAGTTTGAGGCAGAGGTAGACTGGTAAATGCTATGATATTTAACCAAAGTAAATATAAATGTAAATGTAAATAGGTGACCGAGGAGGGTTTGCAGATTTTCGATGCAGGTAGGTGATCGTAGAGGATATCAAAACTTTCAAGAAATAAAATAGCTACCTTTCGAGGTACTTCAGAATGAATGAAGCTACACGCGATTAAGATCTTCCTCCCCCTTTGGCAGAATAAAGTCAAGGTAAAAGATTCACCACGAAGTATTTGGGATTTGAGTAAACAAATGTCAATTGTTGCGACAATTCTATGTAATGAATGCGATTTTGGTTGTGGTTGAAGAGCTTCAAAGTTCAATCAAAACAATTGACAATTCTCCCAGCTGTCAAGTGTTTATCAAAGTGCAAAGTGCAAAGTGCAAAGTGCAAAGTGCAAAGTGCAAAGTGTATATGAAGTGTCGCACAACAATTAAACACGCTCTGATCAATCCATTTCATTGGTCAGCCAAAGTTCACATTAGAATTTACAGATCTTATTGGCCCATTTTTGCCAAATTTGCTTTTTTGATTGGTCGATCAATAATTCAGAGCAAAATCAATGTAAATAGAGCAATGATACTCGTAGGTATCTTTGACAACATTACGTATCTGTGCCTCGAGAGGTCCCTTATGTGTCTATACCGTACGTACCATATCGTATATAGCTATCAACTCCATATTCATGAATCATCGGAAACTTTTCTCACATCGCTCAACTACCTACTAGTATATATATACTTTGTATGGTATTGTCAACATCAGGTCCTGCCTAGGTAGTCGAGTCACATGTTGACGGTGCGGACGATTCATCAGTTTTCTTCATGGTCCCAAGGTATATATTGCAAGCTAAAATATATCTTTGGAATACTTTCTTTCTTTCTCAAATAAACAACAAATGTCAAAAGACAAATAAATTCCAAAAACTCAATCCAATCCCACAAGTCAATCATTACTCGGGTATCATTTTGTCCTCCCAGAAGAATATCAAAACTCCTCTCCCCAACTTCGAAATTTATTAATGAAGTCCCCTCAAATCTCAGGTCAAGACAGGCCAAGTCCCATTCTACCAATCTCAGAGAGTATCCTCTTCTTCAACCACTCATTTCTCAGTAGCATGCGCCTTCTTCTTGAACAGCTTATTCTTCAACTTATCCGCCAATCCAACCGGATGTTGTACACCCGGCTTGGTCGCATTAACCACATTGCCCTCTCCACCTCGTCCGAAATGCACAACCTCGCCATCGGTGCTGGGCCTCAATGCAGCATCTGGAATACTATCCACATCGCTCCGTTTGGTAGCTGGGAGACCAGGTGAGCCGATATTTGCAGCCCCACCGCGACCGACGCTGAATGCCCCATCGCCGTGATCTCCTGCTGGTCCTTGACGGACAATTTCGCCATCAACATATCTATTGCGCCTATTAGTTTACATGTCGAAAAGTTCCGCCTTGTATTGGATTGCGAATGCTCAAATATCCGCGATAGAAGGAAGGTGCTGCATACTGAGTGGAATCGGCTCCAATATTTCCTGCGCCTGCTATGACGTTAGAATCTCCCTCTACTGAAGACATTCAAGAAATACATACCTCCACGACCGTGACTAACTTCAGGCTCCGCCATTGTGATAATATTAAAATTTGTTCTTGCGATTATGCCCCTTTGAATATGAGAATCTGCGCTCAATAAATAAGTAAGTATCGTACTATGCGATCAAAGAAATGGGAATCCCGAGCAATATAAATATTGCGCAAAGGGATCCTTGGTCCCGTCTCAGCCCACTTCACACCCCGCAATCGGTCATATCACAAACCTCCAGCTCACCACGCCATTAATGAAAGTTCCTTCATTCTCTTTCACGATATGGAGGAGAGATGCGGCATAGAGTTAAAACTAACATCACTTACTTTGAAAATATAGCAAGCAGTTGCAGTAATGTTTGCGCCAGAAATTCCGTCAGGTGTGAACAAAAACAAGTCGAGTAAGAAGACGAAACTTCATTCAATCTTCATTCAATAAACTGGAAATCATCAAGGCTATCATCTACACGTGCTTTGATTAGGCTCCTATTTAGGTCTCCTCCGTTTCCGTTCCTTGATTAGCCTTCTTTCCTTTCATCAACCAAACATGGATAACAAATGTATGAACGGAGTCTCTAAACCTAAAATCCTATGATGTAATCTATTTGTGATTTCTCTCCTGCAGCATCAACAAGATCGAGTTAAGTTCTTACCTACCAAAGTGCAGGAACCATTGTCTTGCCCATGGATCATCACATATCCAATACCTACCCTTACACGCGTTGACGGAATACATACCACCTAGGTATCCTCTCGCACGGAGCACAAGCTCAACGGTTACTTTTGCTCGAGCTTACATTAGCTAGGTAGTAATCACAGCTCCACTCTTCCCCGATCCTTATCTCTAACCATGATGTGATAATGTCAAAGATAAGCCCAATCCCACTAAGTACTCGCCTATTCAGGAGTCGTCCATCCCTCATTCAGCAGAGAAACAGTCGATTGCATGTGCAATGAGCCAATGAGATAGAGAAATAAGAGAACAAAGATGCGAGCGAGTGTTTTGTTGCATGTCGGAGTGTGAGGTGTTATGTTATTGTATTTCATTGTGTTTGAGAAGAGCGGAGGGCTTATCTCTAGATTGTATGCATGAGAGAACTAGTCCTTGATAGGATTTATCATTGGTGTGTATATATATATATATATATATGTGTGTGTATGTATGTATGTATGTATGTATGTATGTATGTATGTATGTATGTATGTATGTATGTATGTATGTATGTATGTATGTATGTATGTATGTATGTATGTATGTATGTATGTATGTATGTATGTATGTATGTATGTATGTATGTATGTATGTATGTATGTATGTAGGTGGGATATAAGTAGGGCAGGCTTCTTAATCTAGGCAAGTAGGTATCTTGGATAATATGATAGGTATCTCGATTTTGCAAATAGCGGAGGATATCTTGAGCATATGGAGAAAACCTGGGGATTAAGCTCTATGGTAGATTAGAGTGGAAGTTTAATAGTTATATACCAATCACAGTTCGATTATTTCAGCTTGTACCTCACTCAAGCAGGTAATCGAAAGCCGTACGAAAAATGACAATAGCGGGTATCCATGAATAAGTAGGTACTCTGTTAACAAATCGGCCAATGCACACAAGAATACAGTGAAAGAACCACAATGATTTGTTGAAATAATGGAAGATACCCATTCATTTGCGCATTACATTTGAAGACACAGACACTACTATTCCATGATTTGACATGTTGAATGATGAGATGTGCAACAAAAGTGTGCATTTGCATACCGTTTTGCATTGCATGTATGTTACACGACCTTGAAGGTTATTTACCAGATATACAGCAAACACTTCTTCAATATTAGATGATTAATATTCTTAGAATTTTCAGTGTCTATTGATGAATACAAGATAGAGAGGTAGGGAAATCATATGCATCTTTGGTGTCATTTTGAGATATTATAATGTAAAATCTCATCATTTGTTCATACTTGGTCTCGAAACATATGTAAAAAATAATTGCTTATCTTTTTGTTGGAAATACATGATTTCTATTTTCTTCTGATAGACAGTGTGAATGTTGAGTTCCCAGCATACTCCAAACCCTTCATCATATTAACATCAGAATCGTCATCAGCCATCTCCTCTGCCTTCAAAGCATCAGCCTCGACAGCCTCCTCTGCCACACCACGCGCAGCGTCCGACTTCATCATGTTTCTGTCTGTTGCAGTCGACAGCCCCTATACATTTATGTGATCAGCACATCCATCTCACAGGCATCAATGAGTAATGTCATAGATTAAACTTACCATCTCCCTGACATTCTGGGATTCTGTTAGAAGTCTCTTCTCTGCTTTCCTGGCTGCTCGCTTCCGCGCTCCTTTATTATTCTCTCACCTCTTTGCTGCCTCTTCCGGATGTTCTGCGTCCCATCTAAGTTTTACCTCGGCTATTGCTCTGCGTTCCGCCCTCTGCGCATCTCTTGCGATCTCAATTTCCCCCCGCATCTGGAACTTTTTGATCTTTTCAATCTTCTTCTCCTTATTGCGAGCTTGACCTTCTGCAGATTTTCTCCTACCCTTCTCCGTCTGGGACCACTTGATTACTCTTCGCTTTTTCTCATCCTCTGCTCCTGGCCCTATCAAATATTTCAAACTCTCCAACAGCTCCTCGCTCTGTGTATGGAGTTAGTATGGAGTTATGATCGTATTGTCATGTGCTGTAATGAACTAGAAGATAGCACTTACGGTCATGTTTTTGCTGAACTGCACGTTAGAATACCTAGCTCCCGGGACAATTCCACCGCCTTCTTCTCTGACTCCCGCCGTGGCTTTATTTTCTTCTTCAGCTCCTAACATGTTTGAATCGTCTTCTTGGGGTTCCATCATTATAGTGGCTGCAATTAATTGCGGTATGCTAAGTGCGATGACGTTGTGATGGAGTTCAAATTGGAGGTGGTGGGGGGAAACTGTTTTGTTGTCGGAAAGAGGAGAAGAAATTATTTGGCGCGAAACGTCAACTATATAATATAGATGTGGAATTTCTCCAAATTCACTCTTTATCTATCCAACAAGGTAGGTATTGCGCAATATTCAATAGGCTACCAACCTCACTGCTGTGACTGACGCTGGGCGAATATAAGCATCATTGGACAATAGTCCATGTCTGATTCTTAAAAATGAGATCGACATTTTCGAACTCTAGGTAGTCGTTTGCATTTTCTAACCAAAACAATTCGTAGCAATGGTCATGTTGAGCATTGTACCCAGCAGCCCCAAGCCCCAATCTCCCTTCTCATGAATATCTGGAATGTAGCAAAACAGTGAATATAATTCAAAGAAAATGCCCCACTTGTGGTAGGTAGTTTCTCAATCTTTAACTTTGAGAGCTAGCGTGAGATTCCACTGACATGTTGTCCTGTTCAATAGATCACTTTCCACACAGTGAGCCAGATTTGAGAATTGCTTGCCAGTACAACAGTGATGCTACACCAAGATTTCAATATTCATGTAGGGCGTTGCGGATTCCATATCATGCTAAAGAGGACTCTTGAAGTACATCGGGGAGAACTATCTCAGAATATTCCATATCTTATATCATAATGTACTATTGTATGTGAGAGAACTTTCTCGATGAATGTCTTGATTCAAATAGCAAAATAGTATCTTGTATCCTGAACAAGGAATCTGTGAGAGATGTCTGTATGTAGGTAGATTTTGTTATACTATTCTTGCTCTTGAATAGTATTGTATATACGAGGAAGAAATCATGGGTCTAACTAGGCCGGCAGTATTCCATGTATAATGCAATGTATATCGAATCCAAGACCTTTCATTGATTGTATGTGTTTGTGTTTAAAGTCCGAATTTAAGTAGGTTCTGCTCGTAGCTTCCTCTTAAGTCCGTCGGAGAAAACAGGCGCAAGCTTCTTTCAAACCCACACTACATTCAAAGACGTTAGAGCCCATTCTAGATCAGGCTCCCAGGCTTAAACAAATTTATTTCGCACCCCGCAGAATTGGTTACCTTTAATCAGTATCTTGAGCTTCTTTTCAAACGGCAAGTCCTTTCACTTGCGCTCGCCTTAAAAGCTTCATCAAGCAACGAAAGACTCCCCAGATGCTACATGACCAGCTTGAGGTCATTGTTGAATCTTGGGGACGTCAGTCGTGAATTCAAGCTCAAGTAGAAAAGCTTGTTGCGACTGAATGAATATTACGAACATGGCACCAGCAAACGGCGCGTCAAAAGTCATGCAGAATCGCCCAAGGCCTGCAGTTGCGGTTCCGAGAGGCATTGTTCCTGCTCTGCCTCTCTCCTATGGTAAGCCACAGCAAAAGAAACTACCTACTCGAGAAAAGGCGAAGGAAGTCGTAACCCCATCCTCGACGGCCCCAGCAGTCCAAGTACCCATTACATCGATTTCAACTATTGATACACCTTCCGCGCAAATCGATGAGCCTCTTCCAAAAGACAAAGCTTTGGAGGCGACAAACGAATCACCTAAGCCTGCTCCCGCAGCAGTTGCCGATACACCGTCTACTTCTGAGTCGCTGGATGGATTTAGCTCTACTGAGTGCGGTGTTACGATTGGTTCTGGTTCTACTGGTCGTGGTTCTACTGAGCGAAGTTCTACTGAACGAGAGGGCGAGGAAAATTTGGCCAATGTGAATGAAGCAAAAGGTGAGATTTGAGAATTCACTTTCAGCCTCGCCATTTCTGCCAATCCAAAATATTATCCTTGTCGCTAAATCTTTTCTTTTCTGCAGCAGACAATCCTCAAGAGGAAAAGCACTCTGCTTCATCCGAAACCCAATCTACCACCTCGAGATCAACATATCAATTGCCTCCACCCTTTGTGCCAGCCAGCAATCAATCCACAATGTCCTCCGAATCTGTACAATTTCCGCAGCAGGTTGCGTTCAATGGTCAACATCCAATGCACCACGCTCATCCCAGCGTTTCGAACCCGATCTTCGGCGGATATCCCGATTCCAATAATTCGTCACCAGCTCCCCCTTCGAGCGCTGGCAATATTCCACCTTATGCTTACGTACAGCAAGGTGGTGCGCGCCATGGTCCTCATCTAGCAAACGGTGGCCATCAACACCATATGTCGAATGGATTTTCGCCGATGACTCCAGCATTCCCTCCAGGATATTACCACCCCCAAGACGGCTTTCAGGTCCCTCCACCAGATGATTTTCTCCGCAAACAAATGCAACCATTTGTTTCACAAGAAGGTTACTCCCCAACTGGTGCTCCCCAAATTGTTGAGAGTCCTCGGTTCAACGGCTTTGATCCAGCCGCTAAGCACAACGTTCATGGATTTCGAACATCGATACAGGACCAGGAGAACGGTTTGGGCCCCCATTATGGACATCATCCATCTCCACTTCCACCAATGGGACCACCACCTTATCGTGGCGTCGTCGGCTACCCGCGCAAAGAAGAAATTCCATGGGCAGGCGGAAACCGCCGAGATCTTTGGTTTCACCTCCGTGAGCAATTTGCACAACCAGAATTTTCTGATTGCGTTCTTGAGCTACGCTACTCCGATGACCGAGCGGCTCCTCTTCGAATTAGTGGTCACAGATTGATATTGGCTCGCAGTTTCGTGTTGAAAGATCTCATTACATCTGGAGGTAGCGCAAATCGTGATTCACCTCTACCTATCCAGAACATCTTGATTGAGTCAGATGATCGTTACTTGCGATCTGATACATTTTCATTGGCGGTTAGATATCTATATGGTGGACCTGTATTGGACTTAGATGCAATGACCCGCTTTCCGGCTCCATACATTGGATCAGCTCCCATGCCGTTAACCCCAGCTGAACGTTTCGACTTCACGCTCGGCTATATAGCATCAGGGGTTGTTCTTCAAATTCCTCAAATTTGGAAGACTGGTTGCACCATTGCGAGCCAACTCATTACCTGGGACACAGTCGAAAAGGCTCTTGAATTTGCTCTTGAAGGAGGTATTGATGGATCGTGGAACTCAGGAAATGCAGATGTCAACGATGTAGTCGGCAGAAGCACTTACACTCCATGCGCCAACGTCATCATTTCCAATATAATCAACTTCATCATCCTGTCATTCCCTCCTAACTTCGAATTGGATACGACAGTCTCAGACATTCATTTCAATTCTAGAATTCCGCATGTACCTGATCAGCGACCCACAAACTCCCGATTGAGCTCTATTAAGTTCGGCGACCACCCTACAGAGGAGAGCCTTCGCTCCCCTTCCTCGGATTCTATTACTCTTACTCTGTCAAGGTTACTACTCAACTTGCCTTTCGGTCTCTTGAAGCATGTATTAGAAACTGGAAATATGGGTGTTATTCATGGCCATGCAACCCACTTACTTCGACGAAAAATCATGTATCCCGTCATTGAGGAGCGTGAGAAGAGAAGACAGAGAGCCCTTGCTAGTAAAATACCTGATGAGGAGAAAATTAAGAATGGACGTCAATGGAATGCCGTCGGCTGGAAAGAGGCGGTCCTTCCGTTTGATGACAATCGAAACGAAGAAGTTCCATGCTTGAGAAAGACTTGGGTTGGTTTCACAAATACTGAAAGCAAGTAACCTTGGTTCACTGAAGGACTTCCAAAATGGGCTTTTTGTATTTGATCATTAAAAAGGTGCTTTGGCGTTGGATCGGTTCAGCGGTTTCGAGGGCAAATGAGATATGTCTTTGCATAAAAAAATGGGCGGACGGGACTCGTGGTCATTTCTTCTGGCCTACCTATTTTCTTGAGACTTGAGACATTTGCTTGTCTTGCTCTCGGTTGCTAGGTGAAAATAATCAATTTTACGAAAACGTTTTACGGTAGTAATGAGATATGTATGGCATGAATCATTAAACTTCAAAATAGTTGATGAATGAAAAAAAGAACTTTATACCTCTAAACCCTTTAAATGTCCTGCCATTGGTTCCGGGAGTATGTACACGCTATCATGATATCCATTATCAGGTACCGCGAGTGAGAGCCATTTGAGGAAGCAAAATGTGAAGTATGTGAACGCACAACGTCTGTTCATGATTTATCAACCACCATGTTTGACTACCCTTTAAGGAGTATACCAAATATGGTGCGCATTGTTGAACTGACAATCATATCGAGTGGATATAATTAAAATGATACATTTTGTAGACCGCATAACAAAGCGGACTGATATTTACCGTCGCCATAATAACATGTATCTCATCCAACATCGAGGGATGTTCAATGGTAATGATAATGAAGTCCCTTTCTCATGATGAAATTTGACGAAGGTCCTCAACTAGTATTTCATTGTACTGTATTATTGTTTAAGAGGATTCAGGAAGTGAAGGGCGCTGATCAATAAAAGAGGGCCCAACAAGGATTGATGAGAAAAAGTTTGCATCACGTGCTACACTAATTTTGGAAAATTCGGTTGTGGGATTGTTTGCCCTAAATTTTTCGAACCCAGCAAGTCCAATACTGCGATTCCGACATCTCGAATTTTGAAGACGACGACCAACGACAACTTGATTGCAATCCGACAAAATGGCGATCAAGCACAACCAGCAAATTGCCCACAACCGTATGTCCTCTTTGCAGATCAATTAGGACCATTACAAAGATGCTGATTATGGATAGATTTCCGAAAGGATTGGCAAAGACGAGTTAGAGTTCACTTCGACCAGGTAAACCACGCGCAACCGGAATGCAGAAATCTCTGGAATCGAATCTAACAATATAAATAGCCTGGCCGAAAACTCAGACGCCGCAATGCTCGTCTCGCAAAGACTGCAGCTGTCGCCCCACGCCCAATCGACTTGTTGAGACCTGTTGTCAGATGCCCAACCATCAAGTACAACAGACGTGTACGAGCTGGCCGTGGTTTCACCCTCGCCGAGTTGAAGGTGAGATAGATCAGAAATTTTCAGTTCCGTGGGAATAGTTTTCTGATGTTATTATAGGAGGCACAAATCCCCCGCAAGCTCGCCCCAACCATCGGTATCTCCGTTGATGCCCGCCGTCAAAACCTCTCCGTCGAGTCCCTCAAGGCAAACGTCGACCGTCTCAAGTCCTTCCGTGCCCGCCTTATCCTCTTCCCACGCAAACTTGGTCAACCTAAGAAGGGTGACTCCACCAAGGAGGAAGTCGCTGCTCTCAAGGAGACCAGCAGCCGTGTCAAGAACGCTCTCCCAATCTCTACTGTCGAGGGTGGATTCTCAGAGATCAAGAAGAGCGATATGCCAAAACCAATTGAGGGAGGTGCATACAGAAAGTTGCGCGATGCAAGAAGTGATGCTAGATTGGCCGGAAAGCGTGAGAAGAGAGCAAAGGATGCAGCTGATGAGGCCGCTGCTGCCAAGAAATAAATGGCATGAATGGTTCATGGGTCTGTTTTATATTCTTGCGGGGTGCGATGGATGGATGTGGGCTACAAGAGCGGTTCAAAAAAACTGCATAGGTGTACTCTCATGAATTCAACGGCTATTGCACAAAACTAATGAATTTTTCAATAAGATGTTCTGCATGTGAAGGTGGTGCTTTTGGTCGTGAAAATATGTTTTACTTGGATGTTCGAGTGAACTATCTTTTCTGCATACAAAAGCATGTCCCAATAGCACTTTTGAATGCTGTTGTACTGATTATGATTTCAGACTGGAGATTTCGAAACCTCGCCGCGGCCGTTCATCGCTCATCAGGAATTGGATACAAGATGCAAGTCTACCAGAGACCAGGAACATGGGGCTCAGAGCGTGTGATTCTCACCCGGATTTCCAAAGCTGTTGGACAATCTTGCATTCATTATTTCCTGCGGCCTTTTTTCTCATACCGAAGAGCCGGCCATCTGTATATTCACGATCGACTGGGAATTCTAGCAACCCATCTCTCTGTTCAAATTCTTTGTGCCTGATGAGAAGATGGAAGGCTTCACTCTGCGGCCTCGCGATCAGATTGCTCATTTCACTGCCTCGTCTCGCCTTTAGCCCACTCAATTATCTCCTCCACCTTACCTTCAAACCCTCAGATGTCGCCCGAGAAAGTGGTAACCATCCGTGGGCCTTTTAAATCTCCCATAGAACCTTGAGTTCGAAAGTCATCGGTCATATTGCTTGTTCAGGTGGATCTCGATATCCTGCGCTTGCAATGGTAACTTCATCGGGAATGAAGTCCCAAGTTGCTTTGCCTTGAAATTTATAGTATAGGAGGAGAGTTCACGCTAGAATGCCTAAAGACATAAGATTTGCAACAAACTTGATTGATCTGGTACGATATTCGATAAGCTACCATGTTCAATGAGGGGGCAAGACAGCGAGGTCGAAAAATGAACCGCTGTCGTTATGAAAAAGTTAAATCGCACATTGGGTCATCCTCTAGCCCAAATAGTTCGCCTTCAAGTTTCACGATGCAAATCTTTTCCTCGGCGGATGTATGATCCAAGATATCTGACCAATGGTGCCTCAGAACTCTCACTGCACAATCCAGGAAACTTCGGCAGTAGAACAGTAAGCATAGCATAAACATTAACGTCAATCATCCCATCGGCAAACACAATTCTTCGACACCACTCCTCATACTCACTTCAACGGAGTAGCTTGCATATTTGCAGTGATTTTACATGTCAGTTTGCCCAAGAGAGTACCTTTACAACCTGTTTGTGCCAACTGTTATTCAAAAAGTCTACCTGGGAGCTAGTGACGGGACATACGTCCCAGTGCTGTGCCGTGGTATAATATTGTGTGGGAGGAAACATCTCGGTAAAAACTAGCATAGTCGACCCTTTGCTACAATCTTAGGAAGCAGTTATTGTTTATCAGATGAGTTAGCAATGATGGATTATGAAACCGAACAATGGATATCGCTTGCGCGTAATGTTTAGCTTCACTTGCTGCCTTCCTGTCAATGTGTTTCTACGAGTAACTTAAACTCACCGACTATTAGGTTGCAATGCCGCCGACACGTGCAGAAGCCGAATGAGGCATCTTCGACGAGGTGCATTTCGCATACTGATACGAGGTTGAAATGATTATACTGTGGTCTCTTGTGTTGTACTCTAGTGCTTTCATCAGTTCCACTCAGCGATTGGCACCAAACGTACCAGATTAATTACTCGCTGTAAAGATGAATGACTCCATCATTTCTCTAACGGTGTTGACAATTTCCCATACCAAGCTGCTTACCATATCGTTGAGGTGAACGCTCGGCATCTTCGTAATCTTCTTTGTGTGATGCTGTTTCGTGATGTGGAGAATGATATACCACTCAACCAAGATGATCGTGATCTCCTCGCTATCAATTGTGTTTATACATGAATAAGGTCATGATCATATTCATTGGTAAATTGTATGGTATATAGGTGGCTTGTCCAAACTGGTCAATAGAAATTATATGGCTTTTGTTGGGTATGCAATTATCAGGCAGGATATCGGTTTTTAGACTGCTTTGTCTTTGAAGTGGTGCTTTGAAATATTGGCATGGTAACACGCACAACAGCTTGAATCGAAACTTATCAAGGTAGACATATAATGGTAGACGTCTCAAACACGAATATGAAAGGTGCACATCGGTTAGAACGATGCGTATTGTCCACCTGGGCAAGAGTAGGTAGCTAGACATAGATTTCGACTTGATGCATTATTCTATTATCATTTACATCGTACAAATCATCATCTCATACCTCCCGCCTCCCATCCTTTCTCCCTCTATTCAATTCAACACCTTCGAGTTCTCTTGCTCCGTTCTTTAAGCTTGTCATCTTACCACCGTCGTGAAAGTCTTTACTCCTGATCCGAATTTCTCCCTTGGTCGATGCTCACGATATATTTTTCTTTTTCCAGCTTCCTATACTTGTATTTGGCCTTGGATCTAGCTTCTCTCTCTCTCTCTCCCCTCTAAAATTACACAACTCGATGCTCGTCTTTCTATTACTGCATCGTTAGAGAAGAAAGCTTTCCACATTAAAAAATCCCTTCAATCTGGAGAATATGCAGCGAGTTTCTCCTTATTCTCAATAAACTTCTCAGAAAACAGTGGGTTTAGAACTTCAACTCGTTTTCGCCATGTATGTATCAAAGTCTGACTGAAACTTGAAAATTTGGGTAGAATTGTACAGCTGTATCTCAATCCCATTACCGTTACCTATGCTCTTGTCCGTGGGGAAATTTTGCAGGTAAGGAATGACGCTTGTGCAGAACGTGAAAAATGATTTACTGGTAACCAGCACTAATGCGAAGCTTATTGGCGTGGCAAGGTTCATGTACAAAATAGTGGTGATGCTTGTGAAATAGAGACTAGAGCAATCGCGAAGGAATACTATTTTGGAGGTACGCTCGTGGTTGATATTGAGATTTATACATTATAAGGTTAAGGAGGATTTTGGAGTACAGTGGGTGGTGAAGTTCAACAAGTCATGGATTGGTATAATTTTGCACAGCTATCAATGATCGCCCGTAGTCACGAATGGATGGCCTACCATTTGCAAGTCTACCTTGAATGAAGATTACACAGCAACTTTGCTATGTTGGTAGATACCTCAACAAGACGCTGACCTTGCATGAACAATATCCACACTCGAACAGATCACGATGGATTAGGAAATGAAGAAAGATATGTAGGCAAAGTGTTTGTAAACAGTCAAACACAAACATGAAATTGGTAAAATGCAGCATCAGATAGTACCCCTATACTTTGGTCCACGCTATGCATTCTAAAACCGTACTCTTTGATATCCCAAACTCCATTTTCCCAATTCATTCTCATCATATGCATTTCTTTCTTAAGCAGGTCTCCTCCTCGCAAACTCCTCCAAATCAGTTTTCGTCGCAACCCCCAACACAAATCTTCTCCTCTCGTCTGTCACAACGGCAAACTCCTGTTTGCCCCCCTCGCCATTCTCTCCCCCGCTGAAAAATAACTCTAAATCTTCCAACGGCGTGTCCATGGTGATAACCTTGTATACCTTTCCCTTCCTCCTGAATTTTACCATGGCTTTAGATACCTCATCTGATTCTTGCACTTTTCCTGTCTCGAGCAAGATGCGTAGATGGGGAATGGAGAGATAGCCTAGGAGAGCGCGGGTGTCGGGGGTTACGACGGTGAGATGTGTGTAATCGCGTTCGAAGGCGCTCATAAGAGCGTATGAGATGGGATCGGTGGGGTTACAGGAGAGGGCAGATGGAGGGTCGAGATCTTCGACTGTAGCCTAGATGAGTGGTTTGGTTAGCATATTTGTTTACGCCCATTCATGGTCATAGCTGGGCGATGACAAGGTTACAATGTACGTACTCCTCTATAACGATTTGCCAATTTTGAAAGACCGGGTTTCGGTGATGAAGACATCTCTGCTGGATTTGAGGTGGCGGCTGTTGATATTTGATTGGGTATAATGTTGGACATTTGGATAGATGTTATTTCAAGAGGTAGGTAAGATTACATTCAAGATCAACAAAGTAACAAATAATTTTATGGTGGGGAGGAAATGGTGGGGTAAGTTGTAATTAGGCGGGGCGGGTCCGGATTTGACGTGGTAGGGAAGGAAGTCTATGGATACAGCCAGACAGCGTGTGTGTGTTCCTGTGCCTGAGACTGAGACTTCCGATTAGATCGGGACATTCTAGAAGCTTTTCCCTCGTTTGTGAATAACTTCAATTCCGGAACGTACCGACCTATGTATCATTATCACGTGGTTCAAAGGACATATTGCAAGGCGCTGACTGGATTTTTGACTTCTTACTGATCCAGGTTACTCATCAGGGGGAAGCACCTCGGATATCATGTAGCATTCTACATCGTACAAAGCAATTGAGCTCCCACCATCTCCTTCTTTGTACCTGAGAATCATGCGAAAGAATCCATCATCCCACAGAAGCTGTTGTATCATTCATAATCGCGCCGGGCAACAATTCTTACATCGTATTCAAAGCAATGTTCCTGCCCGTTCCCATCCGATGAATTGATCAGTGCCAACCTCGTACGAGGGATGAGATACCATCTAGACTTTGTACCGTATACAGTCGCATATCATTGGCCGTTGAAGTAATTGCTTCGGCGTCAAAACTGGGTCAAGCTGTCTCATCCATCCAGATTACCCATTCAATCCAACTTTCCTCGAATTATTTAACAAATCAGCATCGCATCTCATCGCACTTCTTCCATTCCTCACTCATAAGCAATCACTCTTCTCGTTCATTCTTCAAAATGCCTTCAATTTTTCCCTCTCAAGATACTCTTCAAAATGCATTCCATTCTCCAAATCCCTACGGTCGCCGAACCGAACCATCAATTCAATCACGTACCACTCCCGTATCAAAGCGCCGCACCCCACTTCAAGCTCGTCCGGAGCTCTATACAGCTTGGTCTGTCGTCGACGATGCGAAAAATAAAGCCAATGCATTGAGTGCAGAAGCTACAAAAGAGTTTGACAGAGCTAGTGCGGCTGCTCAAGCTAAAACTGGAAAAATCGAGTTGTATTCACTAAAATTTTATGCGGCGTGTACTTTTGGTGGATTGCTTGCTTGTGTGAGTTATCTCTATCTGCCTACAATCTGTTATCCTATGATCTCAAGGAGTCTGGTTTGCAACGGACTATCTATCAGTTTTAAACTTTCTCCACGACGCCTATTCTGGAGTATCTGGATTCGCATCGAAGAGTTTACCCTTACGTTCCCCTAAAGCTACTTCGCTTCCTCCAATGGAGCATTTCAACTACTACGTATACTACACAAGGATGTCAGTTGCGAGTCTTTGCAATCAATCCATTAGTGAGACTTTGCCTCATTGATTAGTTTTACTGCCACGCGGAACTGTTCCAATCTATCAAAACTCTTCAAGTCAACTAGCAAAACTCTACCTTGTGCCATCACCACATCAGTACTTCACCTCGACCAAAAAAAGTTTCGTCGTTGTTAGGATTGGTGATTGAACGCCTAGTTGTCTTCTCCCATCGAAACTCCGATAGATAGACCTTGCAAAAACTCACTTTCCATTCATCACTCAACTCGTAACTGAAACGCTCAAACTCCCCACTAACATTCCGCAGGGTCTCACCCATACAACGGTCACTCCCCTCGATCTAGTAAAATGTCGTCGCCAAGTCGATTCCAAGATGTACACCGGCAACTTCCAAGCCTGGGGTAAAATCTTCCGAGCCGAAGGTTTCCGTGGCATCATGACAGGATGGGGTCCAACATTTTTCGGTTACTCCGCTCAAGGGGCCTTCAAATACGGTGGTTATGAATACTTCAAGAAATTCTACGCCGACCTCGCCGGTCCTGACAATGCATACAAGTACAAAACATGGCTTTACCTATCTGCCAGCGCGTCCGCAGAGTTTATTGCGGATGTGGCACTTTGTCCTTTCGAGGCCGTGAAGGTTAGGATGCAAACTACCGTTCCACCCTTTGCAAAAGGTACTTCAGATGGTCTTTCAAAGATCATATCGAAAGAAGGCTATGCCGGATTATACAAGGGCTTGTATCCTCTCTGGGGACGACAGATCCCGTATACTATGATGAAATTCGCATCTTTTGAGACAATTGTAGAAATGATTTACGATCGTCTTCCAGGTCAAAAATCAGACTATGGTAAAGCTGCTCAGACAGGTGTTTCGTTCACTGGTGGTTACTTGGCCGGTATTCTTTGCGCAATTGTTTCACATCCTGCCGACGTTATGGTGAGTCCCTTTGTTCCCACTAATCTCTCTATAACTCTTTACTCATACGCGATGTTCAGGTTTCCAAGTTAAACGCAACCCGACTTCCCGGTGAAGCATTTGGTGCTGCTACCGGACGTATCTACAAAGATATTGGATTCCGTGGTCTCTGGAATGGTCTTCCCGTTCGTATTGTTATGATTGGTACCCTGACTGGTTTGCAATGGATGATCTATGTAAGTTTCCCCATATCAATTTTCTCGTGGCTATTGTTAATGGTGCTATAGGATTACTTCAAGATTTTTATGGGACTGCCTACTACAGGTGGAGCTGCGCCTGTTGAGAAAGTAGGTAAGTAAGGTAATGGATAATCGGAGACGATCTGGAAGGCTAGAGATCAGGAGAACAGACTGTGTATCCGATCGTGTATAATTGTAATTCAATGAGCAACTATTTTCCAAAGCCCCTCTGTAGAATTGAATCATAATGAGTGAGTCCGTTTGTGATAGAAGTAATGAGGCGACAGATACACGTGTACTTCATGATTCGGACTTAATTACTTGACGATACTGATAATCTCTTCTGTTATGGATGTTGAGGTCCTATTCTGATCCCTCCCGTCAGATATTCTCCCCTTGGGAGTGTGATTGACTCCTCGAGCTGAACCAGGAGTTAAGATCAGATATAAAATTATTGTTATATGATAGATTTTAAGCTGGATCTACAAAGAATTATAGATTTGGAGTTATCACGATACTGGGAGGATGAAGAGAAGTACCGGTATGCTCAATCCTGGATATTTTAATCCAATAAATAAATGTTGATCAAAAAGTGAAGACTATTTTGCACAATGTTCACTATGCTCGGATGAGTCGGTTCGGCTGAAAATTCCGACGCACTTAGACTTCCCCACTCCCGCGCATCGTGTCCCGCGTGTCTACTACTGTACCAGCTCGGCAGTTTGAATGATTTCGTAAGTTCATTACGCAGTGGCGATGTCATGTTTCGATTTAGCGCGTGTATCAGCGGGGCTACTTTTAGTGGCTAATGTTTGCCGGTAACCACGGAAAGCATGTTCTTACCTCCTTTCTCGATCGCTCCCAGCGAAATATTCATAACGTATAATTTACAGCAAAGTTAGCAAGAGATGGATCGTCATAATGAAGCAGTTTCTATCATTGCCTCGTCAGTTAAGCAATTTTATGAACGGAAAGAGGCATTCAGGTTATACCATGGTTCAACGAACAGTACACGAGACTCTAACCGTCGTAGAGACCGTATGGTTGATACAAGCAAACTAGATCGGGTACTCAAGGTAGATACCGAGAAAAGAACGGTTCTTGTCGAACCAAATGTACCAATGGATAGCCTCGTCGCAGAAACTCTTCGATATGGCCTGGTACCTCCAGTGGTTATGGAATTCCCGGGTATCACTACTGGAGGAGGCTTTGCTGGTACTTCTGGAGAGAGTAGCTCTTTCAAATATGGGTTCTTTGATCGCACTGTCAACTGGATCGAGATGGTTCTTGCAAATGGCGAGATCGTGTCGGCTTCCAAAGATGTGAATTCGGATCTCTTCTATGGTGCTGCATCGTCTTTTGGAACATTAGGAGTTACCACTTTGATTGAGCTGCAGCTGATCGAAGCCAAAACATATGTTGAGTTGACATATATAAATATACAAAGCATGGCTCAAGGAATACAAGAGATCGAGGAAATCTCCAAGGACCCAAATGTTGACTACCTCGATGGAATTTTGTTCAGTAAAGAGGCTGGTGTCATCTGTTCTGGACGCTTGGTTGATGAGATTACCCCCAATACCCAAGTTCAGCGTTTCACGAGAAATTCAGATCCTTGGTTTTATCTCCATGCAAAGAAACTGCATGATAAGAGCTCCGGATCAGTCACAGAAGTGATACCCCTTGTTGATTACCTGTTTAGATACGATCGAGGCGGTTTTTGGGTTGCTAGATATGCCTTCAGGTGAAATAAAATATACTTCAAGATTGGCCTAACACTGACTTCTGCTAGATACTTCATTACTCCTTTCAACCGTATTACGCGCCGTCTACTCGACTACTTCATGCATACGCGAGTGATGTATCACGCATTACATCAAAGCGGGCTTTCGAAGAAGTATATAATTCAGGATGTGGCAATTCCGTATCCACATAGCGCCGAGTTCGTCGAATATCTAGACAAAGATTTTGGCCAGTGGCCCATTTGGCTGTGTCCACTGCGTCAAAGCGGGATATCCAGCGATTCCCCGCTTGGTCTTCTCGCCGAAAGGAAAGAGAATTCATCTACTCCTAATATGTTGCTCAACTTTGGGGTCTGGGGACCAGGACCAAATAATCGTGATGCTTTCATATCATGGAACCGGAAATTCGAACACAAGGTTCGAGAGTTGGGTGGCCAGAAGTGGCTGTATGCTCATGCCTATTATACCGAGAAGGAATTCGATGAGATTTATGATCGCAAGGAGTACGATGCTCTTCGTGTCAAGTATCATGCCACACACCTTCCTAGTATCTACGATAAAGTCAAAGTTGATATAGATTCGGAGCAAAAGAAATTGCAGGCATCGTGGAGTTTGTGGCTGCTGGCGATTTTCTGGAGCATCTGGCCATTGAGTGGGCTATACGGAGTATACAAGGCCTTTTTGGGCGGAGATTATCTTTTGCCCAAAGTCCAAGCATCGAGCAGAACGCGAAAGTCCAAAGAATAGGCTGAAGTGATGCCTGGTAATTCAATGACTCAATGTACTATAGTATTCAAAAGTTTCGTGCATGCCCAACTTTTACTTTCATTATATTTTTGACTCGAACGCTTGATCTGAAACTTTACTTTGAGTAGAAATGCAAGCTTATTTTGAGATTAAAGATTGAGATTATCCCACAATTTACAAACGCTCCATGTCTCAGTTCGTCCTCTCGATGGATTTGATTCTTAAACTTGGTACAAATCTCGACTCTCAACGGTTGTTTCATGTAGATTTTGAAAGGACGCTCCTCGTTAAATTTCATTTTCTAAATATCTAATGCTAGCGGATACATCTTCATTGGACTCTGGACTTGAATTTCTGGACTTAAGGTTTCAATTGAATAGATACTCGTTCAGTAACCCAATGAGTTTTAGATTTCACTCTCTTCATGAATCGTAGTAGTCTTTCAGAAATTCAAGGGTTTGGGAAGGAGCAATGAGAGGGTGTTGTTTCGCTTTATTAACTATAATGGATATAACGTTCAGAGATTCTGTATATTAAAGACTTGGTCTAGCTCTATCGAATTAGGAGAAGAGGTGGTGGACCATCAAAATTGGGTGGAGAGAAGTAATGATATATAAAAATCTCATTGGCTTATTGTGTGGTTGAGTTCAGAGTTTTTTGATTTTGATATGTTGTTGCAAGCTTAGCTATTGGTATTGTTCAAGGCTAGTATCAGGCTAGAGAATATTACTCATTGAGTGGTAGAACTCTTTTACATGGGTATATGCTGCAAACAACCAGAAGTTGAGGACATAGATATCGATGATGAGGGATATGGAAATGAATGAGATTAGCGTTTGGATACTCTAGTCTCTAACCTGAAGATTTGAAAGTGAAGCTGGGGCTCAAGAACAGTAATATATAATGCTATACATCAAGTTTATACGAAAGTCCTTTTTGTATTAAAACTTATCTTATTTGATATATAATAAAAGATTAGTTTTTATTTGTACTGGTTTGAGAAGAGTGCGAATGATGTAGGACCTATGATGTATATTCTAATAGTTGGCTCTTCAAGCGGACGATTAGTTCTCAGTCGGGGAAAGCGAATGTCCCCGGAAAGCGAATTATCCCTATGAGTTTTTGATATAGATTTTGTGATTTTTACTGAAAAATATTTGAATTTCATAAACAATCTTATAGGGACAATTCGCTCTCCGGGATATTCGCTTTCCCCAACTAGGAACTAGTTGTTCGCTTATAAGAGCTGACTATTAGTTGTTAATATATATTCAATCTAAGGAGCTAACTAATTACAGGAAAATGTAATCTTTAAATAGGTCTCGCTGTAGAACTAGCTCTTTTGTAATGCGCTATGTGTTGTTTTAGAAGGATATAGATGACGCAGTACCTACAATTGTAAGTCTTAAATGTTAATATTGTATTCTGTCTAAAGAGCTAGCTATGTATAGGAAGAAGCAATTCTTATATGCTTGAGGCTAGCCCTCTCGCTACGTATACTACAATAGCCTAATGACTTAAAGTCATTTACCTATATTTATACACTATGAATGACTTAAAGTCATTTACCTATATTTATACACTATGAATGACTCAAGGCCATTGATTTACCCTTTGTTTACCATATATAGATCATTGAGAGTATTTGGTATATCGAGAATAATATTTAATTGAAATCAAGGTCTTGAAATCTCTATTTTGAATGTAATTAAGTACAACTACTATTAGAAATCTTATCATATTATGATTATCTTTATTCAATAACGTCATTATATATCTATATAAAGGTTTTATTAAAGTCGTTGAGTTTATTCGATCAATTCGGGTAAGCTTTTTAAGGTTACTCTACTTCGAAATCAGATGAGAACAAGAAAAAAGTCATCATTAAATCTATATACTATTGAGTGCATATTATTTATGTATCATCGTCTAAAGTGACGAGGCTACTACTACAGCCTTTGGTAATTAAAACTTTCCTTTTTCTCTCAAGAAATATTGCTCGAGCAAGAACAACAACAACAATAACAATACTCCTTGCCTTCGTTGCCTCGCCACTCGACTCACTAAGAGATGCCAGCCAACAACCAATTTGAAAGCGCTTCTGAGGAGAAGCGACCGCTTTCAAAGAGCAAGAAGAAAAATCTTGCAGTACGTCATACTATCCCATCGTTTTTTCATGAATATATTTGCGCTTAATTTTCTGAGAAGCTCCCGCTAATTGATTCCGCAGAAACTATTGAAGAAGAAACAAGAGAGAATTACTGCGAAGATTGAGAATAAGAGAGAGAAGAGAAAGAAGAAGAAGCAAAGGCTGGAGTCCGTGAAAATAGAGAAGAGGGAGAGAGGAGAGTTGGTGGAGGGGTTAGGAACGTTGGTAATGGCGGAGAAGGAAGTGAAAATGAGTGGAGCTATGTTTGAGGGATATCGGGAGCAAGGGGCGGTTGATGATGAGGATGAGGACGATGAGGATGATTAGGATGGAGATGGAGATGGAGATGGAGATGGAGATGGAGATGAAGATGAAGATGAGTAAGATAAATACAAATACATGTAAGGAATCACAATGGATACATGCTTAAATGGTGAAACGAGTGTGTTTTATTACTGATTTGTGCATCAGACCTAATGAATGAATTTCCCCAAGTCATCTAAACCTTGAATGAACGATAGGAAACGCCAGCAGCGCGCATACAATGTATTCGTATTGAAGAGCGACCAAGAAGCTCAAAATACATAAAACCCTTATACTCCTACTAGCTCAAACCATTTCCCGTTCTGCATAAATATCTCGCAGAGATAAATAAACAAGATCCGTCGACTCCGTACATTTCTCCTCACCATCAATCACAATCCAACTCCTGTGTTGAAACTGCAAGTGTTGCATTGAGCGAGAAATCCGGTACTTTCGCAGCGAGGGCATTTGTCTGTTTCTTTTTTGTTGCGGGGAGTTGTGGGGGTCTTTTGACCTGGTTTCGCTGGCTCTTCCTTGGAGTCTGCTGGATTTGTTTTGGGTTCTGCCTTTGGTTGTTCCGCTTTGGCCGGCTGAGATTGAGACTGGCCTTTGGTGGATACCTCCTGGAACTTCATCTTGCGTGGTGGTGAATTCAGGTTGATAGAGATAGAGAAAGTGGTAGATAGGGCGTGGTGCGCTGTATGTTCTGATATTGGATGGCAGTTATGCACACGCTATGTGAACGCCTGTAACTTGTGTAGTTGATCGATATGGGGATATTTTGTGATGTTGCAAGAGGGACAGAGAAGACGACAAGATTTTGTGCCATTTTGTAGTTACTTCAAGCAGTCACAGACGCTGCTCTGGTAATTTTCTGACTGAATTATTCTGTACTGTGCATGCAGTACTCCGATACGGTAGTATGAAGAATAATCTGATATGATTCAGTGAGTCGAGGTACATGATTGAAAAGCATAAAAATCGGTTGTAGGAGTTGATTCTCTGACGCGAATAGAATGCGAATTCAAGGCGCATTAACTTTGATAAAAACATACAGAGATAAAGGTGGAACGAAGCTGGAGATCAAAGTATGGTCAAAACCCGCCTTCTTTGAGGTGTACGGCATCATGACTCGGTGCTGTAGCAGCTTTTTTTTTGAACGGATATTCAGTCATTATGAAAATCTGAGCCTTGATACAACTCCTCAACGTGCAAGTCATTCGATGCTGCGTGTCTGTTGTCATCCCATCCCCTTCGCTTAAGAACCTAACTCCACAATTATCAAGTACCACTCCACTTTCAAAACAAATACTCAACGGGATAAAAAAAATAGCAGAGGCACTGCGGTAGTCAGCGATATATTCAAACTCATATTAACTAATTGACAACACCATCCTCATGAGTGGCGATGTACTGAGACATTGGATTCGAAAGCTCAAGAAAACGGGAGTTTGATCACATAAATCCAGCAGAACAATAATTTGTAATATTACATCAGAGAGAGGGACTTGAAAATAAGATAATTTAATAAATTCATGACCTTGGGAGAAGGTACATGCATCGTTGAGTGTTTGATGAGAATAAGTTCCGAAAGACCTGCTTAACCTAGAGATATTACTTTCACTTCGGAAAGTCCTTAGCACAGCTGACAATCCTTCCTTTATGCAGAGATAAATGTGAACATTGAGCTCTTCTTTCGAATCATGAGCAGTGTTCATTGAAACGGAAGGTGGGAGGAGGTGATCTGCATGATCACATGATGTCAATACTTCCTGTCCTGCATCATCCCGACACCCTCGATCACTCCGAATGAGGCTGTAGAGAAGGGAAAGAAAGAGAAGGCTTTTTTTAAAGCGCAGAAGTCTTTATTGATGGTCCAGAAAATTGATATCATGTAAAAATCAAACCGCATGATTCAATCGTTCCACGACCTCACTTATTCAGCAGAGAATGAGTATAACTTTATTGGACACAGTTTGTGAACAAAGAGCTTACTCATGCCATTACAAACGAGACTTTCAATGATAGATCAATAAAGAGAACAACAGAACATAAAGTTATAATCCTAAGAATCCGCAGATTGATTTGTAATTAATCATCCAACTGTTTCCTGACAGACAACGTGGAGGATACACAGACATACTGGGTAAAATAAACGGGATTGAACAATGGAAGAGAAGAGAAAGATAGGGAATTCAAGCCTCGCACTTTCTCTGAATCCCTTCGTCAATCTGAATCGATGAGAAAATTAGACGAAATCCAAGATTAGAACAATCTAATTGGGAGCTTTCCTATAACGTCAGAAGTTGGTACAAAAGATATACCTTGTTGATTCAATAACATATATTGACACACCCGTACCTCACGCGTGCCATCATTCTAACCTTTGGTATCAGTGGACCCTTACCATTCTTTGGTCTCCACATGTGGAGCCTCGCTAATGAGAAATCATAGTATGTATATATTTTCAAACACTTCGCTAACCTCCATCAATTTAATGACTGAAAATAAGTTTGCCAGTATTGGTGGGCCGGTTGCCTTCGTCTGTGTTCGGGCGTTTGTTACCGAGTGGTGCCCTGTCAGACGAGTTTGAAGGAGAGTTGTAACATTAGGGTTTCGACCTGAAGTTTTGCATTTTTTGACTCTCTTTCTTTTGAGTTTTATCTCTTCTTGCAAGAATCATTTTTTTGATTGCGATGGCTGTGACGGTTGTGGAGCTTGGTAAGCGAATGGTATGAATTTTGCAATGCCGTTGACTTAATAAGTGGCGCGGTCCACTTTGGACGAGGGGATATTCACTTCACGCGGCCGCGCGACCCAAAAACAATTCGCAAATCACATTAACATAAGGCGAAATCAGAATTGCGAGATGAAATGTATTGAATTTTCACTCAAAGCCATGCGTTATGATGCAAGTTTGCCATATAGGAAATTCAGACCAGTATGTGAGAGTTTCTAAGGGTATACAGTCTGCCTCCCAAGCCCAAAACTAACAAAACTACCATCACTTCTTCGCATTTCCACGACCAATTTCTTTGCTTCCTTTGCTACTTCCTTCGCCATTTTCAGCCTCATACTTTGGCTCGAACTATGACGGACAATGCATTAGTTTGAGATCCATGGATTCAAAAAGGGGAACTTATGATGGATGTCTTGCGGAGCACTTTGGTAGTACGCTTTGTAACAGCTCTGTGATCATAGTCGACCTGAAGCTTGTGATTGACTGCCTTCTGCTCCTCGACTTGACGGTCCAACTCAGCCTGGGCGATTCGGTTGGCCTCATTCTCTTCAGCTCTCTCCTTAACTGCTCGCTTGGTATCTTCGATTTCCTCCAAACGCTCCCGCTCCTCGCTCTCAGGCTATAGATAATCAGAGCTAGATGTGCAACAGAGATCAGAAATATACTTACGGACAATCTTGACGAATAATCATTGACACCAAGAGGTTTAAGATAGCTATAATCCTTGGCCGGCTGAGGCTCGGGGGAAGGAGAGCGATTCATGAGACGCGAAGGATACTTGACAGGGGCACGGCGAATGGTGTTTCCGTATTCATCCTCATCATCGGAAGGCATAAGACCTGACATGGTAGATGAAGGGATGATGTTGGTTGAGATTAGAATTGATGAATGCGTGATGAGATGCAAGTACTGCGATAACTCGCGATTGTGGAAGGGAGGTAGAATGATGGAGTATGGTGTTTTTTCAAAAAAGAAAGAGAAGCAAGAGGGAAAGAGGCGGTGCTCTTATACACAGTTTCTCAGACCTGGAGATTCACTGAAAGCTTAGAGTACGGTTCTATGTGGGAATCTACTCAACCGAAAGGGTAGTCATTCACTCCTGCTATCTCCTTATGCACGAGTAGATGGATTGTTATGATAGGATTATGGCTTGTACCGGAATCGGGCTGAGGGGTTCATCCAGATTGATTCTTCATTTTCTGCAAGTTGCGGCACAGAATCGTTCGATTTGCGGCTCGAAGCAAGTAGAGAACTTGCTCATGGACGAGTAGATTATATAATCTAATTGGGTAACAGCTGCAAATTGGGTGAATTCGAGAGATTCATCTTGAATGCGTGCCCATAAACTGAAATTTGCGGCTCGGCGTGAGTTTTCTCCACGTGGGTTATTCCGAGTACTTGCTCATGTACCAGTGTTGAAGGTAAACGATACTCGCAAGGTGATTCCGACACGGCTTCTAGCTGGCTTCGATTCAACATGAAAGTAAATGCGGATCTAGCTTCATGTTTTCAAGCAACAAGTCGATGAATCTTATCTAAAGCACGTATAATATAACTATGTAGCTAGGTATATACAGAGATCATTTTCCGTATAGCATCGTCTAATTGCGATTCGAATGTTCTGACGAGGATCAGCACGGAATCCTCGTTCTCGTCTAATACTAGATTAGATGTCTAGAGCTATCGTCAACATCATCCTAGCATTTGATGTCGAGTGAAACTTTCAAACCAAGAACTTATATCATATGATCCTCTGGCACTAGTTCCTGCTATTGGCAATTCATCATTACCCAGGTGTACTTTGGCAGGGTTTTTGTCGGAAAGAAGACTCTCAATATTCTTGGTGTGGGGCTGCTCGTGTAAGCGAGTTATATACGGGTCGCAATTTTTACATCGTCAACCTTGGTGGTGATACGATCCACTTTTGCTTTGGAACGAATACAATTTATTCAAACTCGATCGTGCGATTGAAATAAACAGGCCTCAGATTCAGCAGCAATGCGATACTGGAAAACAGAGTAGCTTTGATTGCATGAAGAGAAAGCAGCGATGAGATGAGTGAGTAACACTCGAGAGAAGGAGGGACCATACAGTTTGGCGAACGATACAAGGTTTGCACGAGGAATCAAATTTATCGAGGTCACAAAGATTGCACGGTATTTTATTGCGTATCCTCCTGAGGCCAGGTGAGTTACAGAAAAAGGCAGGCGCGACTTCACGGTGTGTTAATCTCGATTCCTTAAAGCAGTTGGTACGGAAGAGTTGGATGGTCATCGGCTCTTTCCTGGAAAGAACTATTACTATCAATGCGCTTGTTTGAGAGGTATATAAAGATCACTTTTCAACAAAAACTCATCCTCAATAACAACATTATAATAAACATCATCTTTGGCAAAACATTGTATATTGTATTTCTTACTATCGCTTCCAACACACACCATCCTCCGATATGAAGATCATCATTGTCGGCTCGACAGACATACTTGGGCAGGAGCTTATCAAACAAGCCCTTGACAGCATCGAAATCACATCCATCGTAGCTATAGCAGGTCCTGGTACAGATCCAGAACTTAGTAGCCATTCGAAATTGGTGACGTCCGCGGTTCCCGAAAAAATTGAGGACTGGGAAAGACTAATCATCGATGCTAATGGAACGCATGCTTGTATTTGGTATAGACACATTTCCTAATCAAATTCTTTCGTTGATGGATGGCAGCTGGGACTACTTGACACACCTCAACTTTTTATCTCAAATTCTGACTCAAATACTGCAGGAACATTACACCAATCATAGAAGAACCGAGAGATTTATTCGGATATCCCGACCAAAGAAAATATCTCAATGAAACTGGATACGGCGTGGGATGGATGGCGAGGCGGTGGGGAGCAAATCTCGGAAACCCTCCGCCCCCTGGTGTAACCCCCCTCAAGTTCATTTACGTGAGCTCTTCGCAAGCCAAAAAACACCGGAGTGAGAATACAGTTCCAACCAAATTTTCGATACAGGTGTGTTATCTCCTTATACCGAGTTTCGAGAATGAAATAACAGTACTAACTATATGTACCTACAGGGAAACGCAGAGGAAAGAGTTTTGAGATGCGCGATGGATCTCGGTGGACAAGTGCAGGCATGTATTGCAAAGCCAGGACACATCGTACGTCACAAAACTGGCAATGTCTTGAAAGAAATGGTGCATACTGCTGGATCATGGGTTCGAGATAGTCTTACAGGCCGGCTGCCAAGAGTTCAGGTAGAGAAAGTTGCGGCTGCGCTTCTGGACAAAGCTATCACGGGTAACCACCCAGAAACTCTCTTTAATAGAGATTTGATCAAAATTGGGGAAGCTGCGCTCAGAGTCCCAGAGGGCGCGGTGACAGGTGGTGGACAGGCAGAAGAGGCGGGTGAACAAGGAGGCGAGACGAATAAACAGGCAGGACAGACGGTTCAAAACGTTTGAAAAGCCTACCTCCAGACCATATTTATATCGGTACAGCGTTTATACAGTAGCACTTCAGTGCTATCCTTAGCAATAAGCAAATATTACTAGTAGAAATAATTAGCTGTTTGATAAGCCTGACTACAACCTTTATCCTTAAACAAAGTGTCGCCTTGACTTTCCATTTTTGGAGTAGACAGGTGCTCGTGTAATGAAGTGCCGCATCGCTTGACGCATCCCACTCTCGTGAAACACTTTACTTAATGAATGATTCAACTTCCTAATCAATAACCCCAACAACAAGTCTTAATTTCCTTGAATAACATGCTCATGCCACACCAGCATTAGCGTTAAATTGAACCGCAGATATAGAGAATATACGAATGATTTTCTTAATCCCAGTTACAATCTCCACACTTCCACCCTATTGCATGGATATCCAAAGCTCCTGGTACTTCTCGCTTCAATTACACTCCCGACACTGCTTGACTTTAATAGCAACTCCGACATACTAAATTCCCATCTCACCAACTCCCAATATCTATATATCTCACTCGACGCCTCTCGTTCCTGCATTTTTGACCAAGGTCTGAGACATCAACTATATTAGGTACTCCCCCCTCTCTCTGGATACTCTACCGAAGTCATCACATCATACTTTTGTAGGCTTCTAGCTTCAAGGAGAACTGCAAGTATGACTGCAAGTATGACTGCAATCACAACTGCAATGACAGATGAGCAAAACAACTCGAGCACTTCGCTCGATGATTCTCTTACTTGCATCTCCACAAAATGCTAAAATAGCGACGACCATCACCGTTATTACCTTGACCGCAAATTTATCACTTCCACTCCCTCTCCCAGCTATGAAGAAGCATATAATTCCCTAATCTCAAATGAATACTGAATGCAACACCTTTTAACACCTTTCAACACACAAAATCCATCCCGCAAACCCATCCCATAAACACTACTTATTACACTCCACAACAACCCCAATACCAACCCCCCAAAACTACATATCCAAACACATCCCCAAAAAACTTCACACATCACACATCACAAAACTCTCACTCCCACTCCACTCCCACTACTGAACCATACCAGAATCACTTGATCCCCTACTCCATTTCTTCACATTAATTTATTATTTAATTTATATACTTTGTTTTTACCTTTACGTTCATCTTCACCTCCATCTTCACCCTCTTCATCATTCATCCACCTACAAGCAACTCAAGAACTCAAGAACTCAAGAACTCAAGAACTCAAGAACCTCAAAATTAATTAAACGAAAACACCCCTTCCCCTGAATTTTTTAATACTTAAATTTTATAAAATATTCTATTCATCCATCCATCCATCCATCCATCTATCTCGCTTCAAAAAAAATAAAATAAATAAAAATTAGAAATAAGTATATTCATATATCCATATATATATCCATATCCATATATAAAATTCCTCCTTCAATTCAAGAAATAACAAATAACAAATAGATAAATCTAGAGTTTTTTTTCTTTCTTTCACCTTGGAGAATCGAGATTAACAAAAAAGAAAAAAGAGAGAAACAAAAGAAGAAAAAAAAGAAACAAAAGAGAAAGAGATTAACACCAAAAACATAAAAGGGGGGGGAAAGAGAAAGGAAAAGGAGGAAAAGAAAAGAATAGAAAAGCAGATAGATACCTACCTACCTACCTACCTACCTACCTATGCATACCTATATCGAGAAAACCACAATCCTCCAAATTCATCATCACCAACCACCCCTCTACTCTACTTCACACATCAACATACTTCTTCCTCCCACTACACACTCGGTACACCACAGCACAGCACAGCACAGCACCACAAGAAAGCATCAACAACTTCAACACAACAACCACTGCAAAAACCATGGGTATCAATATTTCCTATGAGCATCTATACAATCTAGACACATCAAATTCCTCCACATCCCTCTCACATCCCTCTCACCTTCCCTCACCAGAACATATAATCCGCACTGACAAGTTCCACTCTTCACCCTTTCGCTTCGCTTCCCCCTATACTGAGGCTAAAACCATCTGTTTACCCATCTGCCCCGTTCCACGGAGCTATATATCTTCCTCGCCCTCGCCATGAATATGCACAAAGTTTAATACTTCTGTCGAATGATCTCTAGCAGGAAATCTTCAAAGGAGAGTGTGATGTAACCTAGTGGAAATGGTCAGATATTTCTAGGTCAAGAGAAGGATGCGAAAAGGCTTACCATCGCGGTCATCATCGTAACGTTTAAAGCTATTTCCAAAAAAAATTCATGTTAGCAATCCACTCTCACTATTTCCAGGAATTTCTTTTCGCAAACATAGAGCCTCGAAAACATCCTAACCCCATCTCAAAAGAAAGAAGAAAAGAAAAAAGAAAAAGAAAAAAACTTACACATCAGTCATCCTCTTCAAACTAATACAACTCTGCACAAACATATCGAAACTAATCGCTCCCTCCGCTCTCTTATCATAAGCCTTAAACAGTGTCCCCACAAAACTATCACTCAATCTATAACCAAAAGCCACCAGCGCTTCCGAATATTCATCCATACTGATATTCCCACTGCGATCTTTATCGAAACGATCAAACAATCCACGCCATGCCGCGAGAAATCCCCACAATCCACAGAACTCTTCAAAATTGATCGTGTTGCTGCGATCGGTGTCGAACATGCGGATCATCATTTTTACAGTATAGGGATCGAAGGCGGTCCAATCGCCATTTACGAGGGCGGCGCGGAGCTCTTTTTCGGTGAGGGCGCCGGTTCCTAGATGGCGGGGGTGGTTAGTCTTTGGTTTTTGGATTTTTGAGGGAGGATTAAGAATGGGGTAAAAACATACTATCTTTATCCACAGCCTGAAACAGCGGCCACAATTGGGGATCCGCACCGGGAGGAGCAGGCGAAGGAGGAGGTCTAGATTGTTGCGCGGGTCTTGTCTGAGGCGCAACTCGACCAGGTTGGAATTGGCCTGGCGGAGGAGAGGCATAGCCGCGACCTGGAGGGGAAGCGCCATAGTTTCCTGGAGGATGCATTTGGGGCGAGAGTCGTCGCCCATCGGATGGTCTGCGGCCGCTGGGATTTATGCTTTGGGGGAGGGATGGCGGGGGACGGTTTTCGTATTGTGCGCCGTGCATGGCTTGTTGCGCTTGGCTGTGAATGGGGGCTTGAACGATGGGGGATTGTGCATGTTTCTATTGTGTGGGTTAGTGGTGGTTATGCGATGCGATTTGGGAAAAGGGACAAATGTACTCGTTCTGGCTCTGCGAATCTGTGGGGTTTGGGTCAGGCTGGTTCTAATCTGGAGGGGAGAGATTGGACTTACGCAGGTAGCGAATCTGGGTTGAAAGCTCTGTTGTAAGCCATGTTAATTGATTGATTCCAAAGTATGGATTGTAGGAGATGTTTCGCGACCAAGGATTCTGTAGTTGTCGACGATTTAATGAAGTTGTGTGAGGTTTCGTGGTAGGATAGATGTTAATAAAGATTGAAGATTGAGCTCGAGCGATTAGAGGGGCCGTGTAAGACAAAAGTTCCCTTGACGCGGCGAGTAGGCTGAGCGTTACAATGGTGGATCTAATTTCAGGTACCTAGTGATCACCGGAAGAGTTGCCGAATGAAAATCTCGATGAAATGAATTTGATGTCAAAGTATCGTCGAAAGAGGAAGTATGGAGAGAACCGCGAGTCCCAGATGTATTTGGATAGAAAGGAGTCTTCTTAAGTATTCGTGGGGGCTGAGCTGAGAGGTCTTTGAGAATCCTTAGTGATTCACCCAGCTGTTCTAAAAGCCCAAGAATGACGAATGCCAATACTTGAAGTGAGTATTTTGGAGCCCTGGTGAGCAATCGAAAAAAGACATTTCCACTGCAGGAGTGTATGGACTGACTGACACTGACACTGACAAGAGATATCATGCGCTCTCGCTCTCGCATTCTCTTGACTCTTCTCCTCTCCCATATGCATGAGTTACCTGACATGTACTGATTTTCGCGCCCCGGTGAGCAATTCCTGCACCGTAAACTATGTTGCGATCAAGACCTACCTAGGTACGTAAGTATCACCTGCTATCTAACTCACTCACTCCCTTGAATATAAACTTTTTGTAATTCGATGAGTTCATTTTCATACATCTGTATCAATCAGAGTATAAGGTTATCATCATTTATACCCATCTTGGCTTGGTAATAGGTACCTATTCCACTTTCCCGTACTCGTACACGCAATAGATATTATAAATCTCAATCAGAGCATCTGGAGAAAAAAGTGGAAATACATGCAAACCGCCATCGGCATTACTCGACTGATCATTCCGCTCTACCCATACCTAAGTACATCATCCTTCACCCTCCAAACGCATCTGAAACATAAAAATTATTTTTACCCCTCGCTCGTCACTCATTGTCATTTCACCTCACACACAAATACCAATACCCCCTCCTTTCTCCCCTCTCCTGTCTCAACCATCTAGGGCAATTCCCGGATACGCACTCAATACGCACAATACGTCCAATACGCACAATTCGCACTATGGGCGACACCTCTCTCGCTCCCTCCCCCTCTACCACCACCACCACCAATCCCGAGAACGAATTCTGGATATTCGGATACGGGTACCTATAACCCTACACGTCTTACTCTATTCTACATTACCTACCTGAGTATACACATCCCCAGCTAACTTGCCTTCCCAACCACAGGAGTTTAATCTGGAAACCCCCTCCACATTTTGGTAATCTAGAAATCTCCTTCATTCTGTCCTTTATCCTGTACTGTACTGTACTGTACGCTTCAAAATATGTACCTAGGTATCTACCTACAATACAATATACCCAACCTCCCTTCAAAAAGGACAAAATACCTAGCACCAGTACCTACCTACCCATCACCAAAACCAACCCCATCCCCTTAAATAACAGAAACCTCACCCCAACCTCACCCCCAACCCCAATTCCCCAACTCCAATTCCCTAACCAACCCCCCAAATAGATCGTCGCATCCCAGGCTATGTAACAGGCTATATACGGAGATTTTGGCAGGTATGATCTTCGAGTTTTCTTTTCCTTCCCCTTTTTCTTCCCCTTTCTCTGTCGCTCTCTCTTCAATCTAGAAATGTCATAGAAGCAAGCAGAGTTTGACTTTGAGAATTCTCATTCTTTGATAAAACTATTTTCATTTTTGCTTTATATATGAGTAGGCGTTGATGTAAAGAGGGAATAATCGCTAACAGATAGATTATCCAGGCTAGGTAAATAATAACCCCCCCTTTTTTTCCACCTTCCCCTTCCTATCTTCCCCGCCACTCTCCTTCCCCACCCAAACCAACCCTCCTAACCCCTAACCCCCCTCTAGCGAAGACCACCGCGGCACCCCCTCCTCCCCAGGCCGCGTCGTAACCCTAATCTCCCACTCCCACTGGCTCACCCTCCACGATCCGCATTCTCTCCTCCCCTCCTCCTCCTCATCCTCTCCATCCTCCCCCCCAAAGACCTGGGGCGTCGGCCCTACAACACCCTTACTCCCACGTCGCCCAAGTACGCGAATATCTCGGACATCCGCGAGATAAACGGTTACACCATCCACTACACCGAATTTTATCCCGCCGCCTCCTCTTCCTCTTCCTCCTTCACCGAAACCCAACAACAACAACAACAACAACCGATCCAAACCCTCCTCTACATAGGCACCCCCTCCAATCCGCAATTTACCGGCCCCCAAGATCCGCAAGAATTAGCTGAACACATCTTTCGAAGTGAAGGCCCGAGTGGTTTGAATCGTGATTATCTTTTGAGTTTGGATGTTGCTTGTATGTTGCTTTGATTTCCATTCCGATTTTGGTTTCTGTACATCTTGAATGCCAGTCACTATTATATATATCTGCATTAGAGACGAATAATCATGCTAATAATCTAGTGGATGGAATTAAGTCCTGAGAGTGGTGATGATCATATCAAGGACCTGGCGAATAGGGTTCGGAAGATAGCTGAGAGGCAAGGAGATGTAGAAGCAGAAGCAAGTCACACAGAGCATATAGATCATGAGCTCAAGAAGATTAAAAGCACAGATGAGCAGGAGGAGACTGAAAAGTAACGCGTGAAAGAGCTATTCATTCATTCATTCCCTTTTTTGGGGTATTATTTGCCATAGAAACCATAAAGAGCTGCAGAGATATGCAGTCTTCATAAAGAGAGCTTGATCAAAATGATCGTGACTCGAAAATACAGGCAGACTTGAAAAACATTTGTCAGATGTTAGAAAGAAAAAGTGATCGAGCAAGGTAAGATAACCCCCTCCAAACTCCATGCAAGCATCAGTATTGCTCGCCAGACCAGAACCGCTGCCAGAAACCACAAGGTAAATCTTAAGCTGCTATCGAAAAAGATGACAGCATCATAAATTCCACCCCACGAAAAACCTTCGCTGAGAACCCCAGGCTGACTTTTCTTATTCTCGGAGAATGAGAGACCTTGAAGAAGAGAAGAATGCCACCCAGTCGAAAACAATTTATTGGTTTCCTCCCCAGTTTCCGGCGTTTCCACCACTTTGATTACGGTCGTATCCTCCTCCACCGGAGTATCCACCGCCGCCACCACCGGAGTAGCCTATAGACAGTTATTAGCATGCTTATAAAAGTAAAGAATAACCACGGTGCAACTTACCGCCACCACCACCTCCATTGTAGCCTTTATCATCTCAATTGTTAGTAAATGCGATTCAAAATATTCACGACAGACTGGTCGAGCGGGATCGCTTACCTCCGCCACCAGAGTATCCACCACCTAAATCATAAATCGTCAGTAAAGTTCGTGCGACCATTGAATGAGAAATCATCAAAAGGAATCTTACCTCCACTGTATCCACCACCTCCAGAGTAACCACCACCGGAGTTGTTGTCATATCCACGACCACCTTGGTATCCTCCACCACCACCTCCATATCCACCGCCGCCACGGCCTCCATATCCTCCTCCACCTCGGCCACCACCGAATCCGCCACCGCCACCACCTGAGCGGTCATTGCCGGAGCGCTCGGAGGCTTTGTCGACACGAATGGTACGGCCATCGAATCTATATGTATATTAGCTTGTGTCTAGGAAATTGAATGTTGGAACAAACATACTCAACGCTATTCATCTCTTGGATGGCCTTATCAGCATCGGCCTCGGGGGACGAGTCGGGGTTGCCTTGTCCATAACGAACGAAGCCGAAGCCACGGCTACGACCAGTGTCGCGGTCCTTGACAACGACCTGTATTGATCATATCAGTTTCTAATCTTGCAGTTGAGCTTATCAATCAAGGGAGGGTAGAACATACTGCTTCTTCAACAGTTCCAAATTCAGAGAACTTCTCACGGAGAGCGTTCTCATCTGTGTGCCAAGCAAGGCCACTAATTGAAAATGTTAGTCAATCTGTCAAGTGATGGTTTGAATGGAGTGTAAATATTTGGACTTACCCAATGAATAATTTAGACATGATAGATAATTCTCGAAAACCTGGCTGAAAGTCTCAATGTCCGCACGCATTCACACAAAAAAAATCGCGCCATTTTAGGCGGAAGTTGTGTATACGAGAGACGGACGGAACACACAAAGAAAGATACATCGAGGCAAAAACAGGAATCCGCAAAACGGAGATATGGAAGGGAGGGGTGATGTGGAAAGAATTTGGAATCAAAATCGCAAAAAGACAGTCAAGTCAGCTAGCACAAGCAGGAGAATCGGACGAACTTCTTGAAGGATTAGAGTGTCGAGTTGAAGTGAAATATCGAGATTTCTTTATTTGATTGATTGATTGTTTGTTGGTAGAGGGTATCGGGTCTGAGATGTAGATAACAGATCGTTGGAAAGAGATTATTCAATCGGACGACTGAAATGACAGTGCGATCTGATAAAATATAAGAATGCGAAGGTAAATCGCGAAAGAAGGTCTTTTGGAGTTGAGGTTGTAAGTTGTAAGGAAGAGGGAGGAAGGTGGAGTGGAAGAAAGGATTTAAGATGATTGAGGTAGGTAGGTAGGGAAGATTTGTGAACTCTTAAGCGCAAAGCGGGGGAATTGAAAGAGACTGCATATGATTACCTACCTGGTATTATTGCCCCCTCCATAAGATTCACTAGCGCGCAAGAAGAAGAAGATGAAGGGAGATACCATGAGATGAGCGAGCTTGACCTTTGATTCGATCCCTTGAATTCACCACACCTTGATGGGGGGCTCACGGTCCACGCCCGATTGAGTTAGATCGACTCTCTTTTACCAAGTTCCAGTTCTCAACAACAAAAACAACCTCAAGCTTCATCCCACATTATCAACCGCTTGGGATTTTCCATGAATACTTCACTCATTTATTATTTATTACTTTATGATCTCTTCTAGATATTCAACCAATGGAGAATGCACGTTTTACAAAGAAATACGTAGATATTCTATTTAGAATCAAAAAGGAAATTGAATTAATCATCTATATATCATCTATTCACTTCTCACTTCAGGCCACCACATAGGTAGCTACTAGGTAGGTAGCTGTATGATTCTTGTGTGACATTCGGCCAGCAGCAAAAAGCAAGTTATTCCATCATGCACACATTGGTTGAAAAGGTCAAAGACGAAAGTTTCCATGATGCTCAATGGACGGCTGGAAAAGCCCATGGCTTCCTAGAAACCTTGCTTTGATTCATACTCCTTTTCTTGTTGGTTGGAACCAAGCAATCCTTCTTTTGGCTGCGGTCTATCCTTGGCTTGGGTATCTAATTGATATAACAGATCTTCCTTCGGCTTTTACGTTTGTTGCCCAATATGAATCTGGACGAATTTATCAGAATTGCCTGGGCCGGATAATGAAATAGATGGCAGGTACCTAGGTAGGTATAGGAATCTCCGAATTTCGGCATTGATATGTCGCAATCTGCCCACGTAGATATATACAATACAATGCCTCAAGAGACGGTGTTATCATACGATCAATCAATCCTTCGACCCTTCGATAGCGAAAGGCCAGATGTTTTGGGATTCTTGTGCTCTTCTCGATGCCCTTGGTCCATATCCACCTCTTACTAGCCCATCCAATAGCTTTTCCAAGCTTTCCAGCTTCCAATCCAATGAATGATACGATCGCTCGCAAGCTTATTTAGTATGAATTCCAACATCCTATCATATGCACAATCCCCAAAGATCAAACCTGCAGATATGCAGACACTACCGGATTGGTAGCAAGATGGTATGGAGCTATGGAGCCATCAAGTTGCATACCGTAGCTGCAGAGTGTATAATACGACGGTACGAGACTATGAAATCGGTGTGAAGATCAAAGGGAGCTTGGGATCAGGATTGCTATCCATCCCATCGCTATCCATTGCTATCGATTGAGGTGGGGTAAAACTTGATTCAAGGGTCTTCTGTGGATGTGGAGCTCTCACTCTAAAATAGTCCAAGTGCCGTGCACTGTGCACTGTGCACAACTCCAAACTCCGACCAACGGTTCTCGCCAGTTGCCACGCTTTTAACTTGCAGCTCGGAGATGGTGTGCATTCGAGGTGGAACGAGGAAAGACTCTATGGACGATGATCCAGTACCGGTAGGCTCGGAGTCATAGGGAGATGAGGATGAGAACGAGGACGAGGACGAGGTTGAGGACCAGTAGGTAGGTATCCAAAGAACCATCAAAAGAGTTACTAGTATTACATGAATTACGAATATAAAGTCTCACTGCCTTATCACCAAAGAATGATTGATACGGGATAGAATCAATGGAACACGAACTTATTGACTTTTTATTATTCAATCAACCGAGTTTTCCTTTTCAATAATACAACAGCAACAAAACCCGTTCAATTCGTTCGCACATATTCGTTGGCACATCTATTCACACATCCATTCACACATCCATTCACACATCCATTCACACATCCATTCACACATCCATTCATTGGCAGTACATGCATGGCTTTAGAGCTTCCCAATTCATTTTTTTCTTCGCATCCTTCGCACCCTTTTTACCCTCTTCCTCTTCCATTCGCAAAAAGCATCCATTTATCCCACAATCATGCTATCAAATATCTCCACCATCTTCGATCTTCCGCATACAGAGTCCAGACAAACCTTGAAACTTACATGCATCAAATTCCACCCACGTGCACACAAAGCTATACCCAAATAACATGTTCATTCGGCGAGATACATACCTATCTAAGATTCTCTACCAAAAGGGACGTTTCTCCTTCCGAAAAATATCTGAATTAGAATCCGACAAATCTAGAACTCAATGCGACGCTTCGCATGAAGTACAATTAAATGTCTAATAAGCCGAAGGATATCATGAAATAAGATAAACTTGTGCTTCGTCTAAAGTTTACGGGTGGTCAAGACCGGACGGATGGTGACATGATGAATCAGGATAATGCCTCTTCATTTGTATAATTTGATGCGGGGAGTCGTGGCAGTGGTCGTACGAAAATGCTAGATAATCAGATTTTATATCGTTGATGAAGAGGCTTCAAGGTAGGTATACAGCGGATATTGGTGTAACAATTCCTACCCGTGAAAGCCTCGAAGGGTATGATAGGTATGATGATTATCGTGATAACTCACATCTCACAACAGCACTCGCATTTTCTTCCAATCAGGTGATGGATAGACGACATTGAGATTAAGATCAACATTATCACATCTTTTCTTTTACAGCCGCTGATCAAAAGTTGGACGGAAAAGCCGTTGCGATTTGATGTTTGCACATGTGCAGGATAGGATAGGGCTGCAATTACCCACACCGCTATTTATCCTTCCTCGTTGCCGATACATCTTGAAGATATGCGGGCTCTTGTTGACTT